TCCACCTGCCAGATACGTTTCTGCCTTCTTCCAGATATTTACCTTTCCCCTTTCTATTTGTTTTATTTACTTTCGCTGTTTCTTTTATCGAGTACCAGCATCGAGGAGCTTCATCGATTAGGTCGTCGCGTGTCCTACAAACTTCTTGGCATTTGGAAGCTGCAACCGTGATTTACGAGTCTGATATCTCCTAACGAGTTAATCAGCTGCTCCTTAAATCCAACTCTCGTTGCCTTTTTTCACAGACGACCAGGTGCCACATGTAGATCGATTATCGATTACCTTTTCTTCTTATTTGTCAGGACCGATCCGTGCACGATGAAAACAAAAGCGAATGGATTAATCCCTCGCTTCTGAACTTTTGAACCACAGGATACGTAACTCTTTCTCTTACTCTCCCAATCCATCAGGCTTCGTCCCTCTCTGCATCCAACTGTATCTGTATACGTTTCAACTTGGATATCTCTACATCTATCTCTGCTTTATAGTTACAAACTGCTTTATGTATTTCTGCTTGCATACCGACATCTGTCTCCGTCTTCGCGATTATACGCATATCCGTCTCTGTTCGTAACCGTCAAGCCCGGTTAGTCCGTTAGATCGATTGCCACGAAACAAGCGTGGCTGTTCGAGTCTGGGAAATACGAATCACTGCCCGTTAGCTATGACTTTTCTTCTCTCTTCATTCGTTACGTCGATATCGTTTAACGGTAATCGACAAAACTTTTATGTGATTTTCCAAGCGCTGTGCAATTTGATTTATATTTTTAATTCGCCGGTCTGCTTCGTGATTTTCATCTCGGTATCCCTCCTCTTCTATCGCTGTGCAACTGTCTCTGTCTGCACGATCGTGTCTATCTGCATCTCTGTCTCTTTCACTGAGCAGACCGCGACGGGTCCAAGAGATTTCGATTTCGCTTTCGCTGATGCTGACGAAGGGAATTCCAGGTTGTTTGCTCTGCTCACTCGTGAAGCGAGTGCCGTTCTGCCAGCTGAATACCGCCGTGACACTTTCTACTTGTTACACCGATTCGTTTGGCTAGTTAAAAACAAAAGACCCGCTAATTAATATCGCTATTGCGATCTGATCGTGGTAATTCCCGATAAAACTGTCGTAATTCGTTACTTATTCGGAAAATAACGGGGTCGCAACGTTTTCCACTAGAGGGATCGCACGTGGAGAATTTATGATCTCTCGATGAGACATACAGAGTCGTAATATACCTGGTGTAAACGTTTAAACGAGCGCCGACTATCTAACGAAAGCTTTGAAGAAAAAGATCGTACGACTCTAATACTGGCTATTTGATACTTGTTAACGGGATTTCTAATTGCCAATTATAAACTATCGTCTCTGAGATGAAATAAAAGATCGTGTTCTATTCGAAAGAGATCGACGTTTGGATTTTTTATACGTCGATTAAGCAGAGGTTTACGCAGTCCGACTTACCGCGTATCTCGTGTGAAGTTTCTAAAAAAAGATGCACTTGAGATCAGAAATTTCTAATATCGAAGTAAGTGCGTGTAACCCAGACAACGTACGCAATGTCGCTGCAACAAGCTTACTCCGCCTTGCAAGACAGAATCATCCCGATCATCGATTTCTCTCGGCGAACGTTCATACTATTTTCTCGTCGCGACGAACGGATAGTCATTAATCATTGGTTGCGGTATGTTCTGAATTAATTCCAGTAATTTCCCGTGCGTAGTTATATTCGTAGCAGAGCGACCTATATCGATAATTATTTACGAGACGAAAGCGTCTGAAATGCCTGTATAAAGTTAGACGCGGAAATCCAGCGAGCTACGAACTCAAAGATGTCTTTTCCTTTTGTCGCCATGGTGTTTCGTTTCCAAGACGGTAGAGCCGTTAGAAAGCCGATCGATGAAACGGATACCAAGGCGCGCGTTTTAAGTTTCACCAAGGATAGCTTAACGTCTTTTTAATCGACCTGTATCGCACATAAAAGCGATTTGATACAAGAAAACAGACTAACAGAGAAAAAGTTAGAAAAATGCAGAAAGAAAAAGCTACGATAAAATACAAGGAGGCGTTCACGCGTGAGTTGGGAACAATCGCCTTACGATGTTCGCTCGCTTTCACTTCACGCTGCAGGGATGTCAAAGCTGCGTTCTATTAACGAGCTTCTGTCGTTTACGATCTTTGCTGGCGATCGTAACCGAGCAAAACCTTCAGCTTAGGATCGGTGACGCGTCTTTTTCGTAAGAAGAACGCGCGAATGAAGAAAAACTTTCTTCCTCGTGGAGTTATGCAACCTGTTGCCAATTACTTTCCCCGAAAGCAGGTTTCGATCGATTGTCATCCTGTTTTTAATTATTCTCCAAAATGACTTCATCGTTCGCTTTCTTCCTCGAGAAAGAAAGTGATTTATCTGCGGATACTGCGAGAACAGGAATCGATTAAACTTTCCTGTAACCTTTCTGGTGGCCACGAATAAAAGGCCGGGTGTCGAGGAGATCGTAGAGCGAGTTTGCAGAAGCCTGTGTACCGTTTAGATGCTCGATATCGTTGCTCGAGGGTGAAAGTAAAGCGCTACACGATCGCGATTTCATGTACGAATAAAGGATAATGGTCGGTGTGTATAAGTAAGGAAAGAAATTGGCTCGAGTGGTAACAACTAGTACGAGACAGGAGTTTAATGTCGTAGAGGAACCGATATCAAAAGCGGAAGAAAGCGAAGATGCTACGTATTGGGATGAGAAGCGGATGGGAACGATACGACGCGCTTTCTCGCGCAACTTTCGACCATTTCGATCAACGTATGCGTGTTTACAGCTTCACTCGCGTTGAGACGTTGCTAACCCTAAGATATTTATTGGACAAAATGCAAGAGGAAGCTTTAGTTTCCATTTATATCGACGAACTTAACGCTTCCTTTTTTCAAGTTCGCGTTCGCTTATTTACTTCCTTGTCTGATTAGTGGGAAAGATACCGGCGATGCTTTTCGAAGATAAAAATACTAAAAAGATATTAAGCGGTCCGGTATGTTCGAAAAATACAGGAAACTCGAAAATATATCGGAACGTTGCAGGTGCAAGGATATTTTGATAGATGTCGGAGATAGTTTCAGTTTCGTAATAAAACGAGTTACGATATCAAATGGTAGGATGAACTGACGTGATGCGACCAGTTGAATCGCATCTAGCATACATAACGGTTATTTCACTTTTTTTTCTTAATAATATCGTATCTATAATTACTCGTTGTGAGTGGATATCCTTACGTAGCGATATCTGAGTTGCTGAATCTTGGCTCGGGGTCATTCGCCTCGGTGAATTCCACGCGAAATATTTGCTACTTTATGTCGACGATTTCTTGTAAACGCAACTCGGTTGCACGTTCGATAAGCATGAACTATCAGTATTCCCGAGTGTTTACTTCGTTCGCTACGTATCTCATTTTCCTCCTCACCGTGATTTTAGAATTCTATGAAACGTTCTATTAGAACGCTTTGCATAATTTTCAATTTTCCAAATAAGTATCGTTCGCATTGGTACAATTCTAGAGAGCAACAAAGACGAACATAACAGGGACAAACGCCACAGTTAATTAGGAAATTATCACTTGGAAAATGTATCGCAAGAAAGGTACGATTATAAATCCCTCGCACACTGCGAATACGTAAATCTCACACTAAAATTGGAAATCCAACTTGAACGAGATGAAGAGTAAAATCGTGAAAAGAATCGGCCGCAGTGATTCGAGTAAATCCATTTTCACCGTGTATTCGCAACAAAAGTAGCCATTCTCCTAATTCATTTCACGCATAATAAATACGACGAACGTTACTTTCCACTTTCATGTAGTCGATCTTCAACAACACGTGACTTTTATCAATCTTCCGAGAAATGAAAGAAAGAAGGAAAATATGAAAAAATACGCTAACCTGGTATAGGCGTCAAGTAGATGATGGTTGCGACGACGGAGCTCAGGCCGACGAATACAGCGAGCCTGAAGAACATCGTTGACGAACTCTGGCTCGGTTCAAGGATCCTGTGTGTTCAACGACGACGTGCACTCGGCTCAAATACCAACGAAGGATCGAAACGATGAACAAGCCGAACTAGCCAGTTTCGTGGCCGCGGATACACTAGGCTACCACGATAGAGGCAAGTTCATTGCCAGAGAGAGAGTTGTATGCCGATTAAAAAGAAAGATCTTTCGACTGCGGAAACATACGTTTACCAGCTGAGTTGCGCGCGCTTCCGACACTTTTTGCTCTTGCATAAAGAATTTATCTGTCGCGAAACACGTGAAGACTGACCACGATCGTTCGATGCTTCGTACGCGGCTGAGTGCTGACAACGACGATGATTCTCGAAAGGGAATGTTGCACCGAACTGCACGAACGAAAAAGGCCGCGTGTACGAAAGGATGTTGATATGTAATAAGGAAGTCAGTATTGCCTTCAGTTTCGTATCTTAGTTATCGAATTACTTTACATAAAGTTCCTCGTACGCTATGACCATATCGAAATTGATCGAAATAAATATACGTGTAATTGGTTTATTTGTTTAATGACTTTCATCGATCGATTAGGTACACTCGTTCTGTATCGTTTCGTTACTTCACACTGACAAAAGTAAAGTAGCTTTTTAACGATCGTTCGATTTGGAAAGTTTTTGAGAAAGAGATTGCCGAGTTGAATTTGTCTCGTAACACGTCCAGATCCTTCCTGTCTCTGGCTACCTATTGAATTTGAATTGGATGAAGTTGTTGCTGCTAATTAGGAAATTAATAAATCGCTACTGTAAATTTACTCTCGTTAGAGAAAGTGGAATGTATTAATCACGACCGTTGAGTAGGTGATTTCTGTTATGATCGATTGTTCGATTAATTATGTCCGTATTCAAAGTTTTAAGCGCCTCGACTGACGCCGATCATGTATATTTTTAGTTTCTATAATTATGATTTTTGTATATTATACGTATATTATATTTTAATAAATTGCGGAAATTTATACAATGAACGAGTATTTTATATAAGCGATTAAATGTATTAGACGATAATTAACGGTGCTGTTTGATGAACTAATAAAAACAAAATAGAAAAGCACGGTAAATTGAAGGATAAGAAACGTGGACTGTAATGTATTGATTCCTAATTCATAATTCTATTTTTGATCCTGTTCAATTCCTACTTCCAGCGTTTATCATCTTGTCATTTTTTTTTATTGTTATTAATATATTTGAATCTTTAAGAATTTTTTAAACTAATCATATTTTCATAAATAAAATTTAGATCAGATAAAACTTCGTGATTTCGTTTGATTGCAATATTCATTTTTTGTAACCAAGTAATACTGTAGATCAGTTAGGTTATATTCACGTGATTATTCGCTGGAAGTCAGAGTTACTGTGTACATAAACAAACTGAATTTAACATGAATGAAGTTTTGAATAGCAATTTTGATGCTGTGTATCCACGGATAGAGAATGCTATAAACAATGCAGCTTTCATTGCGATAGATGCTGAAATGTCAGGTATACATTCGGAGAGAAATTTGAAAAATAGGTTAGGTTTACTCAGAATTGTAAGGTTATCTTAATATTAGTTGTACTTCTTTTCATACTAATCTTTTCTGTATTTCAGTTTATTTGATACTCTCAATGATCGTTACATGGCATGGAAAAGAAACATTCAGCAATTCGTAATTGTACAATTTGGCATTACAACTTTTTACCGTGTTCCTTCTAACAATGCCTATAAAGCGGACAGCTTTAGTTTTTACTTGTTTCCTAGATCTATTCCATTAAAAAATAGACAATTGTCGTGGGAAGTGGAAGCGATAGATTTCCTTTATAAACATGGCTTCGATTTTAATAAAGTATGCTCTCAAAATACAATTGGGGTAAAATGTTTGTATGTTCGCTTAGGCAAATTTTTTAACTTGGCAGTATCAAATCTGTCATAGAAATATCGATATATCTTTTAGTTCTTAGTCGGAGGTATTTCGTACATTGACGAAACAGATGAGAGTTTACTGCGTGATCACATAGCACATGGCGATGTAGAAAATTATTTATCACTGTTATCCTACGACGAAGAAGAAAATTTCAAAGAGTGCAAGAGCAAGGTTTATGAATGGATTTCTAATAAGTTAGAAAATGCACCATTAAAGTTGGAAGTTATTACTCCTATGGTACAATATGTATTACATAAAGACTTAAGAAATAATTACAACGATATTTGGATTACATCGGACAATAAATCAGTACGTATGTAATATTATTTCTATTTGGATACTAATGAAACATTATATAAGATCGTCTGTTTTTCAGATAAATGTTATGAAAATATCGAGTAATGCGCAGGATGATTTGTTCAAGAAGGGTAATTTGGAAGAAGCACTACTAGATGTTTATTTAGGTTTTTCCAAAGTATTTAAACTTTTGTCCTCTAGTAAGAAAACGATAATAGGGCACAATATACTTTTGGATTTAATGTTCATGCATCAACAGTTCTATAAGCCACTACCAGGTATTAAATGAATACATATTAACAATAATTGATAAATCATATAATTCAAATTTGTATGTGTTTTAGATTCATACAAAGAATTCAAAAGTAATATACATACATTATTTCCACAAATATATGACACAAAATTCTTAAGCTTTGAGTTGCGAAAATTACATAGCAGAGATGAAGGTAAAGAACATTGATAAAGAAACGTAAATTGTAGACCAATAATGTATCTGTATAAACGTGAGAACATGTTTTTTTTTTAAGTAAACTGGAAAATAAATTCATTGAATATTTTGTACGAATATTTTACAACTCAAGGACGAATTACAACTTATAATTCACCAGAGATTATCTTTAATGAAGAATTTTCACGTAATTTAATTTTATGACGACTTGTTAAACCCTATTGTATTACATGGCACCTTTTTCTCATTTCAAACTATATTGTAGATAAAAAGAATTATCATAGCGCTGGGTGGGATTCTTACTTTTGTGGATATGTATTTGTGAAAATGGCACATATATTTTGTGTAAAGAAATTTGGGACGTATGCTTCATATTCATATAATATTTACATTGCAACATATGATAATATGTACTAATCGATCATGAATAATGTTTATTATCTTTAGGGGTTTAGAAGAAAGGACAGCGTCCCATTCTGAGTTAATGAGTAGTGTAAAAGATTTTATAAATTCTATAAATATAACGAGAGGCAATGAAATGTATATGGTAGGAAAGATATATTTTTCCATAACTACAAAGCACACAGGATAATACTTTAATTGTACTATAAACATTTCAGAAACTCGACGGAGAAGATCCAGTGTTATCGAGACCACAATGGCTTCATGTCAAGTTGAAGTCACCATCTCTAGATATTAAGCAGGTATTCTCAAACATGAAATTATATTTGAAGGCTGTACTTTCAACATTGTTTTGATCAGTACCAACTTTTTTTCAGTTAATGGAGAAATTCTCATCTTATGGTTCAGTGGATGTAATGCCTTTTGCTCGGAGACGCGTTTTAGTAGCTGTCTCAAGCCACAATACGTAAGTATAGTTTTTGAACTTATCAACAGTATGTCTTATCGTTACATAAGACAAAAACATTTCACAAAAAATGTTTAATCTCGATCCGTAATACAATAAAATGTCCTATTTCCGCCGCTCTTTGGAGTTAGTAACAAACGGAACAAGGCGAGTGACAGTCCGCAAATGATAAAGTAAGAATCTACGTAAGTACTTTTAGGTAATCGGCTTATTTAGCTTGAAACAAATTTAAACCTCGTTGTCGTCCAGCATAAATATCTTCACGGTTGGCCGTCAAACTGACACAAGACAAGCTCCCAGAAACTCGTATTTCACGTTTTACACATCACGGTATTCAGGTTAGCAAAACAATGAGGTGAGATTAAAGGAAAGGGGCAAATACGGTGAATCCGTGCAAAACTCGTGACGCGCGCGATTTTCGTTGATATTAATTCTTTCGGTCGTCTTTCATTTTTCCGTTATATTTTCCCTCACGCATTAAGCAAATATAATTAGGTATTAAGTACGCAGTTGGTATTTTAGTATGAAGCTGCTTCGATGTAAGGTGCCGGAACTATTTTGGATCTTATCCAAGGGCAACCACGTATACTCATCATTGCACTTACAAAGTGTGATATCGATGCACGTGATTTTATATGACGTAACCGTATTTTCGTTTTGCCAAAATTTGTCCTAGTTAATTTACTCTTAATATTTTAGCCGCGTATTGTCTTGTGTGATTTTAGATGCGTACATTATATATAGTTCTCCTCGAAGAAGCAACGATCGAAAGACGTTTGCTTCAAGGTTCGAATAAGTACATACCATCAGAAGCATAGAATCTTGTCTTTCTTGCTACGCTGTTAAAACGTAACGAGACCGATATAGCATTACTCGGAAACGGATTAATTATAATCGTACGTCTTGTCAGCAGAGCATCAGCAGCAAAACTATAAATATCAGTGGGAAAGGTGAACGACCTAAGATCCCTTAAAGATAGTACGGATCTCATTGATGTTCTTATATCAAATTATAATTTGATACACATTACGCTCTTCTAAATAGAAAGATATATTTTTACAAATAATATTACACAAACTCTAATTTCGCTCGATTAATATACCGAACACTCTGTATTTCATTGTATGTATAAAGTCAAAATTACATTTGCTGTTTCAGAACATCGCTTGATTTTCAACGTGAATATGGTATAACGTATATAACTTGTTGACAAGTAGTTAATACAACAACGTGATCGATGAATCTTACATCATGCGAGTATCGAGTTGTTCCAACTCCCTCTTCCTTGCGGTTTATTTCTCCGGTCGGATCGATTGATCAATCGATCGTGTTTTCTTAATTCAGACAGCTTGAAATCACAAACCACCATCAGCATCGATATCAAATCCATTAGAAGCCCGTTTACTTTTCGTGCGCCAAGCTATCGGAACAACGAGCACTTATACATATAAATGAGCATAGCTGTCGGAAAATCACTGCACCCTACCGTTTTAAACCCGATCTCGTCCTAACGTTTATTGTTCCACCTACCACTTGGTAGCGATTCCCTACAGAATTCATTAAGCGAACGTTGTAATATTCCGAGTGCTTTGGCGGAAAATGGTTTTCTTAACTGTCTCCTAATTGTATTATTAATAGGATAAATATATTCAAGTGTACAATATTTAATATATATATACAGATAAACATAAGATACGCGTCGTAAAATAAGAATAGATACAAATGTTCAAGTATGTGAAATGTGAAATTTTTTAAATTTTTTATCTGCAATATCTATACACATAAAATGTACACGCGTAATTCTGAAAAGCGGACATTTGAGAAACGATAAAAGCAAATCGCTTGGAACCGTGAAACAATAACTTTGTACGCGAAACGAAATCATTCAACCCATAGAACTCGTCATCGGGGATGCACGCGAATCAGCTGACTTCATCAAGCTCGAATTAGATCGAAATGAATTATATAGCGCTTCGCTATCAAGTATTGCATTTCACGAGCACGATGCATTTTCTTTCGAAGCGTTAAGCGTTCGGCACAATTCACCCGCGTTAGATTTTCCTTGCCGCTGGCATTTTTCCAAGCGTTCCCGCGTGTCTGTGTATCATTCCTACTGGACAACTTTTGTATCGGCGCGTACATCGCATTATTACAGTTAAATGATTCAATGACCGTCGTTATTCAATAAGTTTGATCGCATAATTCTTGATAATCGTACAAATCTTTTGGTCGATTTTCACGGAAACGAATTGCTTTAGCAAATTGTAAATCGTCTGAGTTTAACTTTACCATTTTCCATTGTACCACGAATGCCAAATAATATTCATATATTTCATTGTAAAAAAGAACTTTATCCTATAACACTGTTCGATATGATGAATTTCTATTTTTACATTTTTTATTATTCATTTTTAGTACGAGAGATTCTTTACAAGTTCCTTTATAAATCTTTATAAACAGTAATCTACTAAAGCGTATCTCGTTCAAGTAACACAATGATTAAATGTGTAAAAGGAATATCGATCAGATAGTGGAAAATTGAATTGCACAAGATTTAGCAAGCATTTATTTGTTGATTTTATTAATGTTATTAATAAAATAGTAACCCAAGCTTGCCTTGTAACGCGCGTCGATCAGGCCAGGTTGCACAACGTAATCGATATGACATTATTTTTACCCATGTATTATTAATGTATTATAAATCGTGATCGCTTGAAAAATTCTGTTGCAGCGCGTCGGAGATATTGCAGCGATTCAAGAACAGCGAGGAATTACAGGTGGCACGGTACAACCGCATAAAACACGCCACGTCCATGACCATTTTTTTGTGGTAAGTTTTTCCAAAATTTCCCATTTCTCGTGCTTCTCTATTTTTTTATACTACATATACCTATACTGTATTATTATTAAAACGTAGAATCTTGCAGGCGAATACAACGTAGAAGTAGATAGGAAGCTTATAGAATTTTAAAAATTTATAATTTATTGCTCGTGAATTATCAGAGTTATGAATTCAATTTACCAACGATTCTTTATATATGCGATGTTCCTTAATTAGAACGTAATTGTCGAAGGCCAGGTTATTAATATTCTTGCTATACTAAACTGTACGAAACATCTCAGATTTCAATCGTTTCGATTCCGAAATAATTTACAAATAATTGTACTCTTTAAACTCAAATTTATTACATTGTTATTTCATGACAAAACAATCTTCAAGTACAATGGTTCATCTTATCGGAGAAAAACGGACAAGATCCACGGGTTCGTCCTGCGACATGTCGTTAAACGGTTGGCTGGATGTCACGCGTGACCATTTTGGGAATTGCACTAATTCGGCGAGGTTCTGCGCGAGCCCCTTGATGACACGATCACGATTGAAATTCGGTCTCGACACCGGCGAGCCCTAAATTCGATCGCCGTGTTTCAGCTTAAACGAGGCTGTCCGCGTTACGTCAAACAAATTAATGGCCCTTCCACAGGCCTGTGCGCCACCGCAGAATCTCTAATTAGCACGAAGATTGCCGTAGATGCATAAGTGGAGATCACGGTGCCAATTGTTGCGAAGCTGGGCCCTCGCGACGCCCATCGCATCGATGTTGAAACTGCAAAATTGTCGAATTCAATGCGGTTCTCAATGTCTATCGAGATGATTTCGAAACGAGCGTTATATAACGATTCGTCGTGGATCGCGTATTAATCGTACGGTTTTACGTCTGATTAAAAATTTATACGAGCTACCGATGAATTTCGAGCGAAACGATCGGCACAGCGTTGATCGTTCATGATGAGATGAAATCGTATGGGACGGGGACCATTTCTATCTTTGATACCTTTATATTTAGCCAGTCGATATTTCTCTAAAAATCAATGTCCAGGCTTTCTATATTTTCTCAGCTTTCGAGCTTTTAAAGATATTTTTACATTTCATAACTGTTTTTAGCTTTTGAGACGATTTTGATTAAAACTATTGATAAATGTAGCGTGCCTGTGCTACGGTATATAACTGTTAGCGACTAATTATTTTTAATTGCAGGAGCGGAGCTGTTCTGTCCGGAGGTGTTCTTGCCTGGATGTTAAAAAATATTTCTAAAACGTATATCAATCAATAACAATAACGAGGAACAATCCTTTTTCGCGTATAATCCTTTATGCATATTGATAACGGGGAACGTTACAAAAGCAAATCTCAGTAACGAAACGGTTATTCCAATTGATTTTTGTATGGTAGGAGATACAGAGTAAAAATTCAATTTTATTTTCCACACGTTCCATCTGTATACCAAATAATTATATACACGTGTTCGAAGATAATGTCTTTAATATATCTTTTTATATTAAGAAACTGGCCAAATTGTTCAGTCATTTGGCACCGTTTTTTAGTCGTCCTTGTATTTAGACAACGAGTCTTTCTATACAAAGCGAACAGTGCAACGTTACAAATCGTACGCTATATAATTATCTGAAACTTACTTTATGAAACCATGTAACTATATAACGAAAGCAAAGTGCGTTAACGAAACGAGCGTTACACATAGGAAAGAAAATCATAGTTATCCGTGCGGATGGGACTGCAATTCATAGATCAAGTTCTACCAACAAGACAGCATTTCAATACGTTCATTGATTACACCATGATTCTCTTGCATAAGAATCTATATAAGAGATCATGAAAGAAGAAATGAAAATAAGCATTCGTAAAAATGAGAAAGTAAAACAAGCTTCGATTGGATTTCCAACTGGCCGGCCAACCCAGAAAGAGTGCCTCCGTCTCTGTCTTCCTTTCTTACGTTCGTACGCGACCACCAGCCGCAAAATCTATTTAAATGTTAGATCGAAATCGCGAGTGGAATCTTTGCGTGAGCTGTTATTATTATTTCTCGTTCTGGTTTGTCGACGTTCCGGGCCAGAGCTCGTTTTCGTCAAGGAACCTATTCACCGTTGTGCCAAACCTCCGTGCACTCGCGAAAAATCCAATTATCCCTGGCTTTGCTGCGAACCATCGCAATTTCGATCGGTCGTATTTTCTTCTTTTTTTATTCACACACATACACGCACACATACACACACATAGGCGCGCGCGTCGTTAGACATTTGGAAAGTTTTTCGATTATGCTTTCTCCCAGTGTGTTGCACCCTTTCACCTTTTTTTACGAGTAGAACGTTACTCGAATATGATTCAGCATAACGTTTATCGTTGCTACGCACGGACTGATTTAGGCTTGGAAATTCTTAAAAGAATCGCATATTGTAAGGAAAATGAAGATGTCGTAGGTATTGGCGATATTCGAGTGGTTATATACGATTCTCGCACTATTAAACGAAAACAAGGGGCAAAGAGTAACACGTGACAGGTTGTATCGTAAATTTCGTTGCAGTCTTGGCAAATGGTCTGGCATTCATACTCTAGAACAACGACTTGTTACTATCAAACGACGTTCAATCGTGTGCGTGGACTCCTTAAGCAAGCGGTAACGTAGATAACATTCGACAAAATCTTGCAGAGAATCGTTTTCAATAATATTTATTATATTGAATTATTGTTCGCAGAATGAAGATGAATAAGCAGGACGAACCAGGTGATATCGATGCTCCTAACGACAAGGTATCATAGTACGAAACGAGACGATGTTCTCGTTGCGAACTCGTTGCTGTTACTCGCCGACCACTTTGTGCTACTTTGTGCTTATCTTGAAATCCTGATGGCCAAGGAAGAGACCAAACGTTCCCCGATATTTCAAAAGTTTTCTCTGGCGGCCACCCAAGGCTAAATCACTCGAAATAACGCAGTAGCAATTTGTGTAGGCGTGCTGCCGGACGGTCAGCCTGGTCACACTGGTGTCCGGTGGCAGGTGGAGCAGCTTTCGAGATGGATCTCACGCTCTGTCTCTTTGGGTTCTACTTCGACCGGTTAAACGACGAACGTAAAGGTCGCGAGCGCCAGCAACGAGGTCTATGGAACTGGGTTAACCAAATTCGCTATTTTCTCGTCTCATCGGGTACAATTTGTATTCGGATCATCCTTAGTCTACTTGGATGTTCCTTCGCATCCTCTTGGGAATCAACGTTGATTACTAACCGTCGTTTTTCACCAAACGAATGGAAACTTAACCCATTGGTCGTTAAGGTAATTTCCTTCTTACCGTTGCTCTTCTTTTGGTAGATGCATTTGTCTAGTACATGGAAGAGGCGAAAGGTGAGGGCGCGTGATAGATAGAAGACGACTATTTGGCAACCTTGAGCGATCGGCCGATTCTACCGAGGCTATAGCACGTACACTTCTCTCAGTATAATTCCTAGTGTTCAATCTACGGATTTTTCTTAAAACGAGGAGCTAATCGTCAAGGTGAATTGTAAATCTCACTAACCATTAAATCCTTCGAGTCTCTGATCTAAATCGACAGGGTAATCGTGGATAATCACAGAGTCGCAAGTTCTCGAGAAACGGAGACCTTGCGATCCTGGTTTTACAGAAGAATTAACAGAGGAAAAAGAAAAGAAAAAGAACAAAAAGAAGGCTTGAAAGAAAATCTCGATAGTCGGTGACGAGGACCTACTTCGTAACTCGTGCACAAAGTGGAAAACGGTATCACGTGGCTGCCCAAAAATACGTCGAGAGGTGACTCGATTCGATCGCCTTCACCTATCGGTCCGGCCAGGACGAGAGGCGAGTCGGTCGGACCGTTGAACGCACTGCCAGCAAAAAGAAGAGACGATTGAAAATACCCACACGTCGGCGTTCTGGTCTCACGGTTTCGAAATCACTCGTGCAGCCGAGAATCGTAGCGTTTCACGGGAGCACGGTGTGGGCCAGGCTGCGCTTTTGCTTTGGCATGGACCGAGCACCTGTCGCGCGTCGCCGACGGTGGAAATAGCCGTTTTCGACGGGGAGAAACGCGCGCCTGCGCTGACACAGAGTAACGCGATTATGTGGGTGCGCCGAGATTAATTGCTTCCACCGATTACCGAAATAATTGTAAATCGTCCGCGTCCCTACGATCGCATCGGTGTAATTAAGCTCTGTTCTCGAAACGCAACGAACGAAGGTTTCGTTGGTTCGGTTCTTTAAAGAACGTTGATCTTTATCCTATGCAAATAGCTGGGAAATTGCAGGAAAATGGATGTTCCTTTGTATAAGGAAATTGGTAGAAGATTGTTTTCTTTTGTCCAAGAAAATTGAAAATTTCGTGCAGAAATGTTGGTCCCTAGTGTCGCTTTAATTGTTTAAAGTTTGTTTGACAAATCTCGGCTACTTTGCCTCTATCTGTATAATTGTAAAAGCCAGAGATTAAACTGTAGGAGAGGAAGCGAGATTAATGGATGGACGACCGGTGGAAATTGTCGAATATAAAGAATATTGCTCTCGAAATGTCACAGATAAGGGAAATGGACGATGATATGGGATTGAAGAGGTTCGATTGAAGTGGCGGAAGTACGAAAATCATCTTTCTCCGACGGAGGGGTACTAGAGGTCCCAGCAGCTTCTTGTTCGAAACCTCTCTAGGACTATTTTTGTCCATAAGCTGAATAGCGGAAATAGCCTAGCCTAGCCCCTGGCCTAGAGCGTAGGCTTGACCGGCCATAATAGCGCCTCTTTCAAGGATATATCGTGACGTCACGATTTCTTTAGAGACAAAAGTCAGACGTCAGTGATCACCTAAATGACGTTTCTCTTTCGATTATGAAATTTGGCATGTTAATAAATTAGACGGGGCTATATTATTCTCTTCTGAAACGTAAATGAAAATTTCTTTAGAGTTATAATTATCTTATGGGTTAAACGCGATCGTATATGTTTCTCTTCAAATTCTAATGGTACGCGAATTTGTTACGTTTGTATGTATGTTTTACCTAGGATAAAGACGAGTATCGTATTAGACACCTTGGGGCGCGTTGTCTCGTCTCAGGATGGCAGACGTAACGTCTTCTCCGATCAAACCACACAAAAATAATCTAACGTTTTACAGAAGCATGGAATTATAAATACTTCTGAGCACATTCGTCTTGTTTGAATAGGCTTTGCTTCGTTCGCACCGTCAATGAACATTTTTAATCTTTACGCGTTTCAGGCAAAATCGTCAAACGTATAATGTCCATTGCTTCGTTCATCCTCCATTTATTCCTTAAATAACCACATTTTCTAATTTTGTTAATCATCTTTGTGAAATATGTTACGTAATTATTTTAATGCAAATTAATACTTTCAAAGATGGAATCTAATAAAGAGAAATTTCTTTTATTGCAGAATACTAATACTGCTGTAATAATTACACCTAGACATCCTGACGCCGTTCATCCTTCAAAAAATGAAATTTCCTATTCTCCTGTATACAATCGTCCACCTCCTAATGTCATCTTCAACGATTGTTACACAGAACGAACGACGAAACTGGACGACTACACCTTCAAAGGTAAGCCGAACAAAAATATTGAGACAGAACTCGAGTTTATGGCATTTTGATCTTTTTTCGAGTCGTGACAACAGTTGTTCCGTTTCACGACGCTCGTCAGAAGCTGCGTCGACACGGATCCACTCGCATAGTCACAATGAATATGTTTTATATCGCATTTGTAATATTACTAGCTATTTATACAAACTTTCATAATTGTCTATGAATAGTTCCAGTGCCTTGATGAGAATAGTAAGCGCAACACAGGTTGTAAAACTTACAGTTTGCTTTCTACAGAATTAATAGAAGATTAAGAACAAGATTCAACGAGATAGAGATTTTTAATATTGGCGTGATTTCTTAATCGGATAATTATAATAGAATATAATAGATATCATAATGAAAAATAATAGAAGATGCAACAGCTCTGTTGATACGAATTCTCGGTTATCGATGTAGCGTATCTTAAAGCGGATATTCTTCGTAGAAAATCGCTGATAATTTGCATTAATAACACAATCGTTATTTTATATCTCGTAAAGTTCGCGAGTAAACAAAACAATTAACTAACGTGTCATTCGACGAATTATATCGGACTTAAGTGCACATGCACCTAGCGTACCATGGCCTTCTTGTGAGAACAAATTTTGTGCAACGTTTTTGGTTTGTCTTTGCGCGAGCTATCGGCTTTATAGCGTCGTACGCAGTTTCAATTTTCAGAAGAATTTCATTAAATTCAACCGATTGTAACACTCGAGGTTTCCAATTGCTTGAACTTTCCAACGTCCAAACATCAGACCTCCACATTTCCAAGCGGCAGACCGAAATTTTCAAGTCGTCGACCATTCGAACGTGAAAGTTTTTAAATATCTCGACTTGCGAGCTTTCCAGTTGAAATTTCCCGATTCACATTTCTAGACAAACATTTTTGAACATTTTGAAATATCATGCCAAAGAAGCCGCGCGATCGAAAGCGGCCGACGCGAGGATGGCGAGATTGTCGCGGCAGCTGGTGCGTACGCTTGATAATCCACGCGCACCCTTGACGCCCGGCGTCCCGTCCACGCTCTCGCCAAGTCCGACCTCGGTGTATCCTTGCGACTATTTTCGCGCGTAACACGTTTCGACATGATAGATGAGAGTTTTCTGCGTTTCCTCCACGTCGCCTTTGCTCGAAACCTGCCAAAGATTCTCGTTCGTACTAGTGGCAGGGAACGTCGAATAATTTAGGACCGCGGACAATACCTGTCGTTTTGCTACCGTTTCGCCCTCCGTCGTCTCGTACGCTTCGTTCGTTTATCCTCGCGCTGTGAACGCTTGCCAGCGGCAATTTTTGCGCCGTTCGAATTTTACTACTTTCGATTCGTCTATACAGCGAACGAGATATTAAAAGAGTATTAAAACCCCTTAACAGGTCGATAATTTGAAAATACGCGTACGACTATTTACGACACGTTTGCCGCACGTTGGATTACACGTATCGCGTGTTTTATATTTCGAATTACCGCATACCGAGAGAAGAGGAAATAATATTAGGTTGTCCGGAAAGTTTCTTTCGTTTCATCAGGAAATAACAGACGCACAACGTTTTATATTATTTTGGCGAATTACGTACGATCTATTTCGTTCTGTCGAGATAAACACCGTGACATTTCACAGACTTGGTTTCGCGTTTGTACGAAGCTGCACTCTTGTAAAAAGCACGTTTACCGAAGAAAGACATTTTTCTTTTACGACAACCTAATACTCGCTAATGTGCAAAAGCTATAGGCAAACTTTTATAAAAGCTGTTGCTACTAATCGTATAAAATAATTAAACGCGAAATGCGTGCACATCTTCGATAGTTTATCGATCATAAAACGCTATTAAATGTTAACGAGCGGGAAGATAAAAGGGTGAAATGACAGAGATCGATGAATAGAATTAAGGACAGATACGGGTTTCTCCGGGCGCCGCGTATTTGATTGCAGACAGATTTCTTACCGGATGTAAAAATAGATACCCGGTGCTTTCGTTCAGCCGTAAACACGTGTAATGAAAGGCAGGCTTCGCCGTGACCCTTTTCCTTCCTTTCTCTTCTTTCTTTTTTGCTTCCTCTTCTTTTATATTTCCCTTTTTCCCTTAACCTTTACGCTTCTCTTCTTTCTCGCTTTTTTTATTGCGCACGGAACAATCGGTTTTTCTACTTTCACCTTTACCTAGTAGAAAGATTAATCGTCGAGTAGAATGGAAATTGGCGGAAGATGATGATCCGTAGAATTTATGGACGAAAAACAAACGTCTGTAACGACGTATCTGTGTAACAACGAGTTCGAGTACTGTCCATCTATAAACGTAATCTCTGACTCCTCGCCAGCCGTAGTTACGTCGGTTTCGTTCGTTTCTTCTTCCCTTTCTCTGTTTTGCTTTTCCTGTGCTTCGTGTGTCGGTCATATGGAATTCGTCAGAATGTCAGAGACCCTCTGCTCGTTCGCTTTTTCCCTGTTGCGTGAGACGATAGAGACGATTGAAAGAAAGGTATCTTGTAACGTTACTTAAATAAAAATGCGTGGAAGTGAAATGCAAGTTCGGAGACGCTTGGAATCAGATATCGAAACATCATTTTTTAAATTCTTCTTTTACGTTTTTCTGTAGAGGTAAAAGTCTCTACTTTTTTTTTTATTAACGTCTTTTCAATACTCTTTTTTCCCCCGCTTTATCGTTATTTTTATCTTTTTACTCCTCGTTCTTTTCGATCCTCTCTTTTCTCCTATACATTCTTTCGAATATTTCTTTGAAAAAAAATAAAAATGACACTTCTCAACAGCATTTTTCCTAAAATATCGAAAGAACGATCGACCTCCGCGACACTTTTTTTCCTCGAACCGATCTCGCGTGGAAACCGCTGTCCTTCGAACTATCCGACCTCAGAGGAAAAAAGGAAAAAGGAGGGAACTCCTATCGCGGAACAGGGTTGCGTGCATAAATTTCATGCGTTATTTATACTGGATTTTCCTTGAGAGCGAGCGATATTTCCTTCCCCTTTGTCGCATCCCTCGCGCGATCCATCAACGTCTCGCGGCAACGAAACGGTTCCGCTTCTACAGCTCGCGTCGCGGATTTCCAATCAGACGTCCGATGCAAACGTCCACGACTACTTTCACGATGTCGTCAGTCACTATCGACGTATAAACAATCGCGTGCCATTTATTTATAACCGTTGCACGTGTCGTCGTAGATCGAATTGAAGCAAACGTACGATAGTGTAGGTTTTCTGGCAACGATCTAGCGCGAGGATGCTCCGCTGCTCGCGAAAATCGCAAAATTAAGTTGCTGGCATCGGCGCGTTCCGACGAGATTCCTCGAAAAATCTTCTTCTTAAGCCGAGAGATTTCAACCTAAGCGGAGAATTCGCATTTCATTCGGATTTTCTGGTTGATTTTGGAGGCGAAGGATCGCCGAATTTCTATTTAATACACTTGACGTTTTTATCTTTTTTTGGACAAGCATCGATATTTAATCGAATATCTTTTTACCATAGATCGTCTGCATTTAGATCTTCAAACGTGACAGATTCTTCGGCTCGTTGATTCATCGCCTCTTGATTATAATCATTTACTTTCTCGCCTATCATTTGCTTCTTACACATATATTTGCTACGACGAATATCGATCAAAAGTAAAATCAGTTTTACTCCACGATCTTTCAACGTTTGTAACTCTACGAAGAAGCGAGCCAGAGAAAGAAAGAGAAAAATCTTCTGCACTGAACGATTCGCGGAGCTAAAAACTATTTCAAGGTTTTGACTTGCTACCAAAGCAAACGTAATACTTTGCCGCGAAACCAGCCCAAAGTACTTCAGCAACCTACTTCATCCCAACCATCGAAATAAGCCATCGCCATTGTCCGGGATCTCTCGGCCGCAAATCTTCCAACCTGCAAACCTCCCTCTCTCGATTTCAACGAAAGCACACGATCGTATACAAGAAACAATTACATCAACGGAGCAAGAATCTGAAGAGAAGACAAAATTCGACCCACCATCAAACCATCAAAATTGTCCTACGGATTCTCCTCTCTCAGCTGCAGCGAAAACACGCGTCCATACACAGGACGAATTATACCAACGGTTTGACAGAATCTGCGACGACTCGAAGAAGACGAACGCGTAGGAAATTTGGCCGCGTTGGGAACGAGGAACGAGCGGGAGATGATCGAACGATAGGAATGTCATTAGGGAATCGTGGTGACAGCCGCTATTATACTGTCGGTGATGTTTGCACGTTGCCGCGGATGCCAACTATCGGCACTCCGCGACTATATGTACAGATGTCGGACTATATTTGGGACGTTGAGCTACGGTTACTTCACTGGCCCAGTTGGCCGTTGATCGGACCCCGTACGTATTTTTAGTTTAGGTCGTAAGCACGTCTAACGCGGCGAGGATCTTCTCCGCGCAGCAAATTACTCTTCTGACTGCGACGTTGTACGCGGTCAGGTAGGTAATGAACGCGTTTCTACGTTGCCATGGGCCAGGCCTGACTGCCGTGTTTATTATTAGAATGCCAATGTTACTCGTACGAGATTTTACATAAGCGGCACCGATATTTCGCCGCGTTAACCCTGAAAGTAAACTAGTGGACGAAAGGCAGGAAGACAGAGAGGAAGAAGAAAAGAGGATAGCGGCCGATCGCGCTTTGATTCGCCGCTGTCACGGACCGCTTGACAGACACGACGACGACGACGACGACGACTACGCGCCGCAAACTTCCGACCGGAAAGAATGCGTCGTCGTGACGCAACGACACGAGCCAAAGACCCGTTGTTGTTCTTCGACTGCGTGCGTATGTACCTTTGTACGCGTTGCGCCGGTACTTCATTTACTTCGAACCGGTCAACCGATAAACAATTTGTTATACGATTGTACAGACACTGTTATTGATGGTACAATGGTGGAGGAGTAGTCGATTCTACGTGAAAAAATAAATAAAAAATGTAGATGAAATTCTTCTTATTCGAGGCTCTGTTAGCGACAAAATGGGATTTGAAAATTTCTCTGATATATGTAAAGTTTACCCACAGTCAAAGAGGAAATAGCAAAATATAGCGACAGATATAGCAAAAGAGTCAACAAACACCGAAACCCCCTAATCACTGGACTACTTGATACGTCGGACCAGATCCGTAGGCTGAAGAGACACTACCCGCTGGACCTAAACGCTAGATTCAATAAGTTATTTAAATTAAGTAATATTTACTTATTTATAATACTTACTTACTAATCATACTTATCTGTAATGAGTATTAACTTATTATAAATAATTAGCCTTGTCACTGCGCCACGCCAGAAAAATTACTGAAAATTCTCAATGCGAGAGTTGATTGTAAATTTTAATAAATATAAAAAAAAAAAATATGTAAAGTTGAATACCTAGTTGTCGATTGGATACGCGTGATCAATATTTGCATACTTGTCTACTCCAGTTCGAAATTAGCAGAGAGTAGCAAGTATACTTGAGAAATTTTCAAACTCGATTTTCTCCAGAGCCGAGCGTTATGTGAAAAAATCTTATTCTATATTTTCCATGTGTTCTTTCACGGAGAATTGCCCTTTGCCGATTGTACGATCGATAGAGGGACACCCTGTGTACTATTTGCGATAAAGTATCATGCGTGGAATCATGTTTGTCGGGACGAAATTGTAATTAGTCGCTATGTAAATGAATTACTCGCAATTGGTCTTCCCTGGGGAACGTATCTCGACGTATCACAACGTTTGACAAGTAACGAAATTCGATATCGACATATTTACATCTCTGAGAACAGATACTGTTCTACTCAATGCTTCGAATTTCTATCAAGAACTAGCGATAAACAGGTCTCGTCGTTACCCCTATAAATGATGTGACGAGGTGTACCTCGTATATCCAACGATTTCCTGCCCTTGCTCGGCACCAATCACGCAAACCTGCAACGCGTATATCCATCAACGTGCACACCCTCCTCTGTTGCCATCAAACTCTGGTAAAGAAGCCTAAATTGCCAGCAAGGAGGCTTACCGCCATTAAAATTCATCAAACGAAATTGCAAATTCTTCCTGGTATCGTAGGTCCAAAAATTTCCGAAGAAAAGAGCTCGCAGGACAGGATTCACACCCCTTTCCTCCTCTTTACGATAAATTCGGTTCTTGTAAAATTAGAGCAGAATTATCGATACATCGTTCGATCCGTTACAAAATACACAAACCAGCCGAACGTTAACCGATCTACAAATCAAGTAGACGTAGAGTGGCTAGAGCAAGTATTGGCACGTACCCTTATTTTCTAATGAAGTGGCGCGATTCGATTTCACAGTAGGGAAATTTTAGTAGCCGTTTAAAAGTACCGCTAAACGATACGTGATTTAATATACCTCGGCCGAGGTATATTAGAACGTAAATGCTGCAACGACGTTGCGCCGATACAGTTTATAGCTACCGTAAATCGACAAACGTTCGCCTGTCTTTCCTTAACGATCGCGACAAAATTCGCAGTGAAGTTTCACGGAAGAACGAACCATAGATCAATAATACGTTCGTCTTCCAGGAAGCTGCACGATTTATATCCTTCGATTATATACAGGATCGTAAATCATTCTCGGGAATGTTTGCAAGCAGAGTCCAACTCGCCATTCTCCATCATCCATCCGGTCGACAATTTCGCTTGATGTTATCGTCGAAGCATCCGTCAACCGGCAAAATTTCTCGCTTCCTTGTTAAAAAGTGAACGTACCCAGGCTTTTTGGTTTTGTATTTTTAGCAAGCGACGCGCAGGATAATACGAAATTAGACCAGGCGGCCTTTGTACGAGCCGCGTTATTAGTTGTTCGCGGGAGCACGAGGCGCGTGTGTTACGGTTGGTCCACTCGGTCCGCTGTCCCTGGCGGGCATTATTGTTGCCAGAATCCAGAATAGACGTATCTCGCGCGCTCTGCCCCTCCCGTAACCCCTATCTGTCATCCAAAGTCTCAACTTTGATCCTCCCGATGCCTCGCTTGTAAATCTTCAGGGACCGTGCGTCTCGCGTTCAACGTGATTTGTTGGCTGTTCGGAACCGAACGGTTCGGCTCCGTTGTTTCTCCTGCTTCCCCTTGCGTCAGATCGTCACCTGCTGTACGAGTATTCTCGATGATTCAGATTATTTCCTTATTTCACGGTTCCTCGAGTGCATTTTTCGCTGCTGACCGCTTTAGGAAGATCGCAAGTGGCAGCTGGCAGCTTCGCTTGCCTCGTCCGAACTGACGTTATCGGTGAGGTTTTAGTAATTAGAAGCAAGTACGGGAATGATAAATTTGACAACGAGCCATACGGCGCTTCAGAAGTAAACTTTATCGTTCGCGAGTTATTTGATTATCGTAGACTCGATCGAACGTCCAGTAGACGTTGAAGAATACCATCGGTGAAGAGCAATGAAAAGACAGCCGGCTGTTTAACCAAGCAATTGCCAAGTTATAAACCTGACAGTTCTCATCGACAGTTCCAACGTCGGTCTCCTCATGATAACAGTGAAATGTTGATTAACGGAGGAATCGATTAATTGGACCTTCGATCGATTGGGAATTCGAGAACGGTCCCTCGGTAAGAAAAATCGGGCGGCAAAGACGATGGCTGGGAGAAAAAATATCGCGAACGAAATTCGTGATAATCGACAGACCTAAAATTTCAATGAACGAACGGAAGTATCGTTTGTTGTGCCGTTCGACAAGGTAGATACGAGGGAATTTAGCACAAAGTTTCGTTTAAATTTCTGGTTGCGCGAACACGTTTGTTTTTCTTTAGCCACGCAGATGTCAAATACACTCGAGATTTTATTGCAGGTTACGTCTCGACTTTTCGCTAATAGAAATAACGTGTTTCTCCTTATTGTTAGAAGATTCATTTCGGGGCAGATCCTATGGATCATCCGATGCCTGACGTCCGATGTCATCGTAGATGTTTAGCACGTCATTTATAAAAACGTTCATAAATAAAATCGGACTTGTCGAGTTTCAGGCAACTAGCGGCTGTCCCACGCTATTTCCAGGCTCTGCTCCATGAGATTCACGCTAACGTGGACTATCAAAGCTTTCGGAACACGTGTTCCACTTAATAGAATCTCGTTAGGTGCACAGCCCGATGGAGGCATTAAACCCGAATCGTAAACGCGAATACGTTGAATCTCTAGAGCTCGGAATTAGTAGGCGCTATTAGCCGGCGACTGAATCAGGTTGTTTAATTTACGTTAATGAACAGTGGTAAACCTAATTATAGAAGAGGAAGTTACAGAGAAAAAGAAGTCCATTTGTGGTTAGAAAGAAGTAACTTGGAAATGTAGAAATTTAGAAAAAGAACTTGAAAATAGCCGGAGAAGAGAATAACCTGATGAATTCGAAGATACGAATTTTTTGAAAATACGTGATAAATCTACAATGTTGATTGAAACAAATTAATATTAAATTTCGTACTGAATGTTATCGATATTTGTTAAATCCGAATGGAAAAATATGTAGTTTTAACGTGCAATTGTTTGGCAACGCGTAAAGACGCGTGTAAGACAGAATATGCGAATTTTTTCATCCAGATTCCAAATAAAGAAAACGCTATATTATTGCGTAAAGTATCATTCGTACGGAAAAATGTAGAAAGAGTTAGAAAGAAACGGATCAACGATATTCGCGGCGAAGTTTCGAACGGCGAAAGAGAAAAGGGAAAAACGAAGATTCGCGCGAAAATGTCCCGAAACGTCTGTTCGACGTTTACGTAACGCTTTATGTTTTACCTAAAAATAAAGCCATGCTTTAAACCGCGGCTTCGTGTAAGCGACGAAATAACGATGTCTATTTTTGTTGGTTATAATGAGAGAATACCGACTGCTCGTGTACCTTTTACGAGACTCGACTGATTGGCGTATAGTTCTATCGATGATACGTACATCCAACGTCAAACTTCCGTTGTTTCGTAAAAGCCGCGGATGTACATCGTTCTACGGAAGCTTAAATTGCTGGTGAAATGCAATTGACACGCGATATTCTGCGCGCGATTGATTCATTGGCCGGTAGTTTTATAATAAATTCTCTTCCACGCGAAATTTCCATTTCTCGCGATTTCACGTTTGCTTCGATACACGATTCTTATATCTTCGTCAATCGCTAGTAACTTATTACACATGATTCCTTCGATTTATAAATATTCAAATATATTTCTTAGAAACTTTTCATTAAGAGATTAAAGAGGATGAGTGGTTAATACAGAAGTTTAATAAAATGTACGTGATTCGCTTAGAGAAGACATTGGGATCATCTCGAAATTTGGGCAATTTGTTAGAATATTACCGCATATTTTTATCTATGCAATAATAAAAAGTTCACAAAATAAACGATGGAAAAATACAGCAACTACGTACATTCAAGGTCCATAGATTTTCATGCTCTCTTTTACCTTCTTTAATCCGCCAGAAGAAAGCGTCCGATTCAAAGTGGTTCCTGAAAGAGAAGCATTTTTAGATCATCCTGTATATCCAGAATTAAGTATCGCTGATCTGCATGGCAAAAGGACGATCCGATCCGCAGGTTAACCACCTTCTTTGGTATCCTTTACACGGTGCTCGTTAACCATATAGTAGGTTGCAATCGACGAAGTAGGTAGAAACACTCGAGGAACTGCGACCTTCCAGAACTCTTTCCGAAATCCCTGACCGTCCTCGCGGTCGACCTCGTCTCTTCGTTCACTCGGAGGACGCGACATTTCCCATCGATCACCGCTATCTCCCCGGAATCGAGTTTGCGTTTCGATCTGTTCTACGTTTAGCCCGGCACCGTGCGTAGTTTATTTCTGATCGGCCGGTAATATATTTATTTCCGATTTTCGGCGCGATGCGCGCGATCGAAGGCCCTCGCCTCGATCAGCTGGCCTGGATGGAACGGATTTAACGCGTACCAAGTTTTCATGGACGACGAACGCTACGCGAGTCGAGCACGACGCGCTCATATATTAAAATGTATTTAGAATCCGCGCAAGAAGCAGAACGTTGACCGTTGCGCGGCTCTTCTCTTCCTTCTTCTTCGCCTTCGGCCCCC